ACGAAGTCCCTTCTCTCCAGATGTGTTACCAGGTTTTTTCTCACGATCTTCTCCATCACCTAGCATGGTATACAAGTCAAGGACACTGGCCTGTAGTTCAGTGCCTCTTGCCTGTCGCCCTTTTTGTATATTGGGACCACATTCGCCGTCTTCCATATTTCTGGTAGGTCTCCCATCTCCAGTGACTTACTATACACTATGGAGAGTGGCAAGCAAAGTGCCTCTGCACACTCTTTCAGTATCCATGGTGAGATCCCATCTGGACCAACAGCCTTTCTAACATCCAGATCCAGCAGGTGTCTCTTGACCTCCTCTCTCGTAATTTCGAACTCTTCCAAGGCCGCCTGGTTTACCTCCCTTTCTCCTAGCACAGTGACCTCACCTTGTTCTATTGTGAAGACCTCCTGGAACCTCTTGTTGAGTTCTTCACACACCTCTCGGTCATTCTCTGTATACCTGTCCTCGCCTGTTCGAAGTTTCAATACCTGTTCTTTCACTGTTGTTTTCCTTCTGATGTGACTGTGGAGTAGCTTTGGTTCGGTCTTGGCTTTGTTTGCTATATCATTTTCAAAACTTTTCTCTGCTTCTCTTCTCACACTGACGTACTCATTCCTGGTTCTCTGGTATCTCTCTCTGCTTTCTGGTGTTCTGTTATTCCGGAAGTTCCTCCAGGCCTTTTTCTTCAGTTTCTTCGCTTCCATACATGCCCTATTATACCATGGATTCTTCTGTTGCTTCTCGGATTTTTCCCTTTGGGCCGGGATGAACCTGTTTACTGCCTCCTGACACTTTTGGGTAACATAGTCCATCATACCCTGTACGGACTTATCTCTGAGGTCTGTGTCCCAAGGAATTTCACTTAGGAAACTTCTCATCTGTTCATAATTTCCCTTTCGGTATGCCAGTCTTTTGATTCCTAGTTCTTTTTTGGGGGAGATAAGTCCTAGCTCTACCAGGTACTCAAAGTTCAATACACTGTGGTCACTCATTCCCAAGGGTGCTTCCATCTTAACTTCTCTTATATCCCACTCATTTAGGGTAAATATCAAATCAAGCATTGCTGGTTCATCTTCTCTCATTCTTGTTGGTTCTTTGGTGTGCTGGCTTAGAAAGTTTCTTGTTGCCACGTCCAGCAGCTTAGCCCTCCATGTTTCTGGTCCTCCATGCGGGTCTCTGTTCTTCCAATCTATCTTCCCATGGTTGAAGTCTCTCATAATTAGTAGTCCAGATCCATTCCTGCTAGCAACATGCTGGGTTAAAAAGTTTCTAGTCACCACCTCCAATAGTTTGGCACTCCACGTATCCTCGCCTTCATGTGGTTCCTAGTTTTCCCAGTCAATTCTTCCATTATTGAAGTCCCCCATGATGAGCAGGTGGGATCTATTTCTACATGCAGCAGAGGCTGCCCTCTCAATTATAGTGTTAACTGCTATGTTGTTGTTTTCATACTCATGACTGGGTCTTCAATCAATTGGTTGTGGGTTATATATTACTGCTACTATTATCCTTGGTCCTCCCATTGTCATGGTGCCTGCTATGTAGTCTCGGAAACCCTCACAGCCCGGGATAGCCATTAAGTAGAAGCTGCTCTTTCTATTATGTTAATGGTGGCCATGTTGTTTCTATCATATTCCTGTCTAGGTCTTCTGTCATTTGGTGGTGGATTATATATGACTACGACTATAATTTTTTTCCCTCCAATTGTTATGGTACCTGCTATGCTGCTATGTTCTCTGACATGCTGGGTTAAAAAGTTTCTAGTCACCACCTCCAATAGTTTGGCACTCCACGTATCCTCGCCTTCATGTGGTTCCTAGTTTTCCCAGTCAATTCTTTGAAGTCCCCCATGATGAGCAGGTGGGATCTATTTCTACATGCAGCAGAGGCTGCCCTCTCAATTATAGTGTTAATGCTAGTTGTTTTCATACTCATGACTGGGTCTTCAATCAATTGGTTGTGGGTTATATATTACTGCTACTATTATCCTTGGTCCTCCCATTGTCATGGTGCCTGCTATGTAGTCTCGGAAACCCTCACAGCCCGGGATAGCCATCTCCTTAAAATTCCATTCCTTTCTCATGAGTAGGGCCACTCCGCCTCCTCCCTTACCTTCCCTCTCTTTCCTTATTACTGTGTACTCCTGGGGAAACCCGGCATTCGTTATGATTCCAGAGAGTTTTGTTTCAGTGAGTCCGATTACATCTGGGTTCACTTCTTGTGCTCTTTCCCTTAGTTCACTTGCCTTGCTTGTGATCCCATCTATTGTTCGAGTACATTGCCCTGAAACTGACTCTCTTCTGATTTTCCTCTGGGGGGGGGACCTGTGGGGTCTGGGGTGAGTGGGAGCTAGGAGGATCTGGTATGGGGAGACTGGTGGAAGAGGAAGGGCTTGGGGGGATGGGGGGAGGGGGAGGGTAGGGGGAGTGGGTGAGAGGGGGAGGGTTGGGTGAGAGGAGGAGGGTTGGAGGGGGTGAAAGGGGGAGGGTTGAGGGGGGTGAGAGGAGGAGGTTTGGGGGGATGGGGGAAAAGGGGGGTTTGGGGGGGCAGTAAAGGGGGGAGGGCTTGGGGGGCCTGGGGGGAAAGGGAAGGCTGAGGTGGGTGAGGAAGAGGGGAGGGTTTTGGGGTATGGTGGAGAGGGGAAGGCTTAGGTGGGGTGGGGGAGAGTGGGGGGCTTAGAGGGGCGGGGGAGAACGGAGGGCTTGTGGGTGGGAGAGACGGGAGGGCATGTGGGAGAAGGGAGGGCTTGGGGGATGGGGGAGAAGGGAGGTCCTGGGGGGAGGGGGGAGTGGGAGGAAAGGGGTGAGTGGGAGGAGAGGGTTGGGTGGGGGGAGGGTGTCTTAGGTGGGTACTTAGTGGGGGGCTGACAGGGGTTGGGGCAGGTAGGTTGTCTGTTGGGTAGAATGTGGGGGTGGTGCCGCACTCCCTGTGGCTAGTGCACTGTTTGAGAAGGGTTCCCCCATTCCCCTCTGAGATTGCAGGGATTGGGGTTGTGGCTCCCTGATTCCTTTCTCTCTCCCTGCGCTCCTTCCTCGCGTCTGCTGCCTGCTTTCTCTCTTCCCTTGTCATATCCCTCTGTGGGAGTACTCTTTTGAACTTCTCTACATTTGCTAGACAGCACTTCCTTTCTAACAGTTCCTCTTTCGCGATTTCGCTCATGAATACCACCTTTATCATTCGGTCTCTGTCCTTGTTGTACTTTCCAAGCCTGAAAACCTTCTCAACATTTTGTTCAGCTCCCTCCATCCTTACCTCTTTAAGGATCTCTTTAACCATGTTTTTGTCCTTGTCTCTCCGCTCCTTTGGTCTGGTCCCTGTTTGCTCTTTAATGCCTGCTACTACTACTGCTCTTTTTCTCTCTATCAGCTGGCTAGTACATCTAGCTGCTTCCTGAGAGGAGGCCACTTCCATGGCAACTTCCTTAACTGCAGACCTAGCTTCACAGGTCTGCAAAGGTCTTCACACACACATAGACTCTGTGTGTGTGTGTGTGTGTGTGTGTGTGTGTGTGTGTGTGTGTGTGTGTGTGTGTGTGTGTGTGTGTGTGTGTGTGTGTGTGTGTGTGTGTGTGTGTGTGTGTGTGTGTACTCACCTATTTTTGCTTGCAGGATCTAGCATTGACTCTTGGATTCCGCCTTTCCAGCCATCGGATGCTTACAGCAATGACTCCTGTCCCACTTCCCTATCATATCTAATTTTCAAATTATGAATAGAGTTTGCTTCCACATCCTGTTCCCCAAGTGCATTCCATTTTTCCACTGCTCTCACGCAAAAAGAAAACTTCCTAACATGTCTGTGATTCATTTGAGTTTCCAGTTTCCACCCATGTCCCCTCGTTCTGTTATTATTACGTGTGAACATTGCATCTATTTCCACTTTGTCAATTCCCCTTAGTATTTTATATGTCCCTATCATATCTCCTCTCTCCCTTCTTTTCTCTAGTGTTGTAAGGTTCAGTTCCTTCAGACGCTCTTCATATCCCATCCCTCGTAACTCTGGGACAAGCCTCGTCGCAAACCTCTGAACCTTCTCCAGTTTCCTTATGTGTTTCTTCAGGTGGGGACTCCATGATGGTGCGGCATACTCTAAGACTGGTCTCACGTAGGCAGTGTAAAGTGCCCTAAAATCCTTCTCACTTAGGTTTCTGAAAGAAGTTCTAATTTTCGCCAGTGTAGAATACGCCGCTGTTGTTATCCTATTTATATGTGCCTCAGGAATTAGATTAGGTGTTATGTCCACTCCCAGGTCTCTTTCTCGAATCGTTACAGGTAGGCAGTTCCCCTTCATTGTGTACTGTCCCTTTGGTCGCCTATCACCTGATCTCATTTCCATAACTTTACATTTACTCGTGTTAAACTCCAGTAGCCATTTATCTGACTTTCTCTGCAACCTGTTTAAGTCCTCTTGGAGGATCCTACAATCCTCATCTGTCACAACTCTTCTCATTAATTTTGCATCGTCCGCAAACATTGACATGTAGGATTCCACTCCTGTAAACATATCATTTACGTAAATTAGAAAGAGGATTGGTCCCAGCACCGATCCTTGAGGTACTCCGCTCGTTACTGTTTGCTAGTCCGACTTCTCGCCCCTTACCATTACCCTTTGGCTTCTTCCTGTTAGGTAGTTCTTCACCCATACTAGGGCCTTTCCGCTTACTCCTGCCTGCCTCTCAAGTTTGTATAGCAGTCTCATGTGCGTGTGTGTGTGTGTGTACTCACCTAGTTGTGTTTGCGGGGGTTGAGCTTTGGCTCCTTGGTCCCACGTGTGTGTGTGTGTGTGTGTGTGTGTGTGTGTGTGTGTGTGTGTGTGTGTGTGTGTGTGTGTGTGTGTGTGTGTGTGTGTGTGTGTGTGTGTGTGTGTGTGTGTGTGTGTGTGTGTGTGTGTGTGTGTGTGTGTGTGTGTGTGTGTGTGTGTGTGTGTGTGTGTATGTGTGCGTGTGTATGTTTGCTTGTGTATGTGTGAGAGACTTTTTAATTATATATTTATCAGAGCATACTTACCCACGTCTGACAGGGCTTTTGGAAGAGCCAAGAAGCCAGCCCCCGCCATCTGGGCAATAAGGAAAAACGAAGTCAACCCATAGCTTAGTCCTTTCTTCTTTGTGGGGCTTCCAACCGCATTAGCTCCACTGAAACAAAATTGTTGTAATCGAATTAAATGTCGTAATAACATAGTTTATGGAATTATCAAAATTAAAAGGTCATATATTATATATTCTGAGGTTCGCACCACAGAACACGACACCAAGAGAGTAGTGTACATTAGCAGCAACACTGTTACCTTGTTAGTTGTTGCCTGGATACACTGATGCCTGGATTTGTCCACTGTTGCCTTGTACTCAAAAAATAACGCAACGCAATAGGGCATTAAAGCAGAGGTCCGTGTCAGTAACAATGCAGTGTCGTGGTCGTCTGAGGATCTCAACACACACGCTGCTGGAATTAACTTTTTTATTTGTGCCACTAGAGTTAGGTTTGGGGTTACTTCCACCCACAGGTCTTTTTCTCGAGTCGTTACAGGTACGAAGTTTCCCTTAATTGTGTACGGACTCTTTGGTCTTCGGTCTTCACCGGTTCCCATTTCTATAACTTTACACTTGCTCATGTTGAACTTCAGTAGACATTTCTCAGACCATCTCTGAAACTTGTTCAAGTGCTCTTGTAGGATTCTACAATGCTCATCTGTCACAACTCTTCTCATTAATTTGGAGTCATCCCCAAACATCGATATATAAGATCCAACTCCTGTAGACATGTCATTTAAGTATATTAAAAATCTAAATGGTCCCAGCACCGATCCTTGAGATATTCCACTAGTTACTGTTTTCCAGTCCTACTTCTCGCCCCTTACTCTTACACTCTGGGTCCCACCTGTTAGCCAAATACTTACCCAGGTTAGGGGTTCTCCTCTTATTCCCACAATTCCTCTCAAGTTTGTATAGTAATCTCCTGTAAGGTATTATATCAAAGCCTTTTGGCAGTCCAGAAATATGCAATCTACAAATCCTTCCCTGTACTACCTTAATCATTATATTCTAGGTTTGATGGACATGATTTCCATTTCCTGAACCCGTGTTGGTGTTTGTTTACTGTGACGTGTATTGGCCCCCAATTAGGTATTACGACAGAATCGCCAAATTTCCAATCAGGCGTTCTCTGAATTAATGCCCTTGCCTCCCTCGTCTCACCACAATCGACTTGATAATGGTCCAGGACGGACCGAAACGTCGTCGTCTCTTTAATTTCTAGTGTGGGGGTTTGATTTACTTTTTCAGCCACGTTATTGTGACTATTCATCCTAACCATATCTATAATGGTTTAGCCTTATTGGGCAATCTGAGTAACTAATTGGTAGTTCCTGTTGTAGACGAGGTCGGATGGCGGTGATAACATAGGAACTTAGTAATGGGCAAAATTCCTGCACGGGTCAACATGAGAGTCTCGTCCAGGTGGTACTAATTGGTGACTGACTTCTCCCCAGGAAGAGAGCATTCGTAGGTCCATAAAAAAAAAATTACGGGAGAAGAGGTGTTTAAACTTTACTTTCTTTAAGATAAATTCTTAACTAATTTATTACTTTAATTTATATTGAATTCTGTCTTCAGTCTTAATGTATTAAGTTTTAAGAAGACAAGAGAGAGGTGAGGAGATGGAAATCTCAGAGGAAGAAAAGAACAAGACAAAAGGTACGGAAGGTAAGTTGTAATAAAGGGTGTAATAATAGGAATAAGAAATGGATCGTAAGAGAAAACAAGAGTAAGAAAAAGAAAGACAAAAGGAAGGGTAGGCTTATGTTAGATCACGTTTCTTAGAAAGTTTAGAACATTTGAAATATATACTGAGAAAGGGAAGAGTCAACAGCAACAAAGCCAGGAATCAGGTTGAGGATGGGTAGGTTGTGTATCAGAGCCGATTCGACAAGACGGCGTCTGTGTAGAGTAGAGGCAGGAAAGATTATTTTAGAGGAAGACCAATCAGTAGGATGATTAGAATCCCTCACAGGACAGAAAAGAACATTGCTTGTGTGTGCAGACTTAACACTTCTTTTGTGTTCCTTAAGTCTGTTCAGTGTACGGTCAGTTTCACCAAAGTATTGGAGAGGACAAGACGAACAGGAAATAGAGTAGACACCAGTTGCATTAGAAGCAGGACGAGCAGTGTGAACTAGATTATAAGAGAGACAATGCAATTTGGACAATAAGGAGCAGGGCGGCGCTCAATTAAGTGACCGTGAGTTAAGCGTGTATAGCCAATATGCAACCTCGCCAGAGCCGTTTCCCTTCGCTGGTTCCGGTGGTAGGAGGACGGCCATGAGGACACAATACCCTTAGGAGTACGCAGTTTGTTACCAGTAACAGAAGACTAACAATGCTTCCAACAGGTAAGGATCAATGAAGGAATAACTGGGTAAAAGTAGGAATAAGGAATACCTTTACGGGAGATGGGACAAAAGTGAACAGGTTCCCTAGCGGCAGCATCCAAACGCTCATTTAAAGAGACACCAATATGGCTGGGAACCCAGCAAAACTCAACTAACTTAAATTTACTGGAAATAAGAAAGAGCCAATGCTGAATCTCGACGACCACTGGATGGACCAGATTAAATGACTCGAGAGCCATGAGGGCACTACGAGAGTCAACGACAACTACAAAGGAAAATTGACAACAGGAAAACAGGAGACGAAGTGCATAGAAAATAGCATACAGTTCTGCTGTGAAGATACTAGTCTCCGGAGGTAGGCGACACATAAGTGCTGTCAGGAAAAGCAACAGAATAGCCTACAACGTCTGCAGACTTAGACCCATCGGTGAAGATGTAACAGAGCGGGAGTGCGAAGAAAAGTGCTCAAGAAAAAGGTGTTTCTCAGCCGTAGGAGGGGTAAAAGCTTTAGTGATACAGATCAAGGATGTACAAAACTTCGGAAGGGGGACTCTCCACGGGGGCAAGGAAGGAACAACACGAGGAGAAATATTAGAAATACGAACTGAAAGAGAATCCTGTAAGCGAGATAACCGGACAGAAAAGAGGGAGATGGTGAAGAGGAACAGGAACCAAAGGAGGGGTAAAAGTTAAAGCATGACAAAGGCAGAGGAAGGATGTTGCAAGGACCTCGTAAGATAGCGAAAACAGTAGCGATCATGGCTGTTCTGGAGAGATAGGAAGCCAGTGTCAACATACAAGCTGAGGGCGGGAGTCGAACGAAAGGCACCATAGCTGAGGCGCAACCCAGTATGGTGCAAAGGATCAAGACGGCGAAGAGTAGAAGGAGAAGCAGAAGAATATGCAGGGCAACCATAATCGAGTTTAGACAGGACAAGAGAGGAATGTAAAGCGAGGAGAGTGCGTCTATCCGCTCACCAAGAAGTATGAATAATACCTGAAGGTGGATAAGGGCCTTAGAGAATTCAACTCGGAGGTAAGAGATATGGGGCGACCAAGACAAACGAGTGTCAATGATTAACTCCAAAAGCTTAGTGGAATCTTTGTACCTAAGGGGGGAGACCATAAAGCGACAAAGAGGGACGAAGAACGACATGCTTCCGAGTAAAGGTCATAGCACAAGTCTTAAACATAGAGAACCTGAAGTCATGATCGGTGGCCAAAGACGACACGGAATCAATCGCCTATTGAAGCCACCGTTGAAGGAGAGACGAATCATTACTCCGACAGTAAAGGGTAAGATCATCGACATAGAGAGTGGAGAAGATGCCAGAAGGAAGAGTGGAAAGAAGACCAGTGAGGGCAACTATAAAATGAGTAATGCTCAGAACATTACCTTGGGGCACACCCTCGTATTGCTGAAAAGAGGCAGAAAGAGTGGTACCAAGCCTCACTCAGAGAATGTGATGAATGTGATATCGCCAAGTGGTGTCGTAAGACTTTTCCAGGTCAAAAAGGACGGCAACAACGGAGGTCTTCGCAGCAAAAATAGTACGAATATAGACCTCCAAGTTCACCAGGACATCTGTTGTGCTGCGGCACTTGCGAAAACCAAATTGAGAAGGGGAGAGGTGGTGATAGTGTTCTAAGAACCACGTCAGACGAACGTTAACCATACGTTCAAAAAGTTTGCAGATCCAACTCATGAGGGCAATAGTGCGGAAGTCCTTAGGGGATGTCCCAAGAGACCCTGGTTTCCAAACAGGGAGGACAACGGTATCGAGCCAGTCCTCAGGGACTGACGACGACTCCCAGACCAGATTATACAGACTCAGTAAATACTGAGACATGCACGGAGGGAGATGGTGAAGCATCTCATAATGAATACCATCAGAGCCCGTCGCCGAAGAACCGCAGAGGGCCAGGACAGACTGAAGTTCAGAGAGAAAGAAAGGATCGTTATAGGGAAGTCTGAGATGAGTGCAGAAATCTAAAGGACGAGATTCAAGGAAAGGTTTACGAAGAAGGAAAGATTTAGGATGATGAGAACCAGAGCTAACAGAAGAAAAGTGGGAACCCAATTCTGTCATGACCTGCAACGGGTTCGCTACAAGAGAACCACGGAGGTGAAGGACCGGCGAGACAACGGGAACGAAATTACCTGCTATCTTGTGGACATGCTTCCAGATCTGCGGCAGAGTAGTTTCGGACGTAATGGTGGAAACAAAAGACTTCCAGCACTCACCCTTAGCTGAACAGATGGCCCTATGGGCCACCATAGGAGTGACTCGCTACAACTCCTCACTCGAGTGAAGAGTGACTCGCTACGCGTTCGCCTTCCGAAACAAAAGAAAAAAGTGTCTCTTCCAGGTTGCATGCTTACAGCGGAAAGCCCGAGCACAGTCCACATTCCACCAGGGAACGCACTTCCGTGGTCCCCGAGAGGAAGAGCGAGGAATAAAGCGGAGGGCAGCGTCGAAGATGGTGTCATGAAAAAGGAGGAGGGCACGAGAGAGAGGTCAGAGAGAGCAGCACGGAGAGTAAATAGGTTCCAGTCTGTCTTAGCAAACTGCCACCTAGGAAAGGAGAGGGGAGGGTGAAAAGAGAAAGAGGTAACAAGGATGGGGAAATGGTCATTGCCATGGAGGTCATCAAGAACCCACCACGTGAAATCCAAGTGAAGAGACGACGAGCAGAGAGAAAGATCAAGAGAGGGAAGGGTGTGAGTCCGAGAGCCCAAATGAGTGA